ATATATATATATATATATATATATATATATATATATATATATAGATGTATATATATATGCTTTGTAAGTTATAAATAAAACCTTCTCGTTATAAATACAGCGCCTTTCTTATGAATATAGTTCCTTGATTATAAGAACAACTCCTCTATTATAAGAGCAACTCTCTTTTTATGAGAATATCTCCATTATAAGAACAACTCCTTCATTAGCAACTCTTTCATTTTAAGAAGAGCTTCTTTATTATAAGAACAACTTCTTCATTATAGGAACAACTTCTTTACTATAAAAACAACTTCTTTATTATAAGAACAACTCTCCTTTATTATAAACACCACAACTGCAGCCTAAACGCTAATAATTCCAATAACTCTGCGACTCTATCTTTGCTGTCTGCGTCCCCAGAGGAGACAGACGGAAGAATAAATTAAGAACTCTTCTTTTCTCGCTTTTCTCACTAAATACACCCGGAGAAAGAGGCTTCAGATCATTTAAAAACTATTCTTTAAATAAAAGACAACAAAGGCAGCCGAGTCCGCATGCAAAGCAGCAGCAGCAGCAGCTGCTGCTGCTGCTGCTGCTGCTTCTGCTGCTGTTGCTGCAGCTGCTGGATGGGGTGGTTGCGGGCTGAGATACTAATGTGTAAATTGATTGAAAAACAAATGATAAATTGATTATTTGTAATGTTAAAATTAAACGTAAATTAAAATAATTTAAATTGATGCGAGGAATTCGCCCAACTGAATTTTTCCTGCTAGAGTCACCACTAGAGTCACCTGAGCCGACGGGGGGCTGCAACAGCTCTTTGCTTTTCCTATGAAATCTTTTTTTAATTCCAACGCAAATATTAAAAAATACTCCAATAAAAAACTATAAAATATTAGAAACAAAAATAATAAATTAAGAGCAATCTGCGGCATGTTTCAACGCTTGATGATGACAGCCCTGGGTAGAGGGCCTCTGCAGATCTGAAGGAAATTACATTAATTAATTGTTTAATAGTAATAGATTAATTGATTAAATATATAAGTATTTATTTGAACAATTTTTGCTGAATAAAAACAGATGTTCTTCAACTTCATTTCTCCTAGTGCCGTGGTTTCTATGCATACAGCCTAACACTACAAACATAAGAACATCTCCTCTACTTATGCTGTGTCTTCTAGTGGTATTTAAATGCATTTTAAAAATACATTTGACAGGTAAAAGAAGCAATTTGATGTATAACTCATCATCTTCATCGCTTTTTCATGGTTGAGTTTCTTCCTCGGCTCTGCCGATTATTCGCAAGAGGAGGAGGTGCAGCAACAGCAGCAGCAGTAGCAGCAGCAGCAGTTGGTGCTGCTGCTGTTGCTGCTGCTGCTGTTGCATGCTTCGGTTTGTTCTTGTTGTGCATTGCATTATTTGCAGCCGTTGGTTTTATATCCTCTTTTAGCTTTTTGAAATGCACCTCAATTTTACGATCAATAGAAGAAAATAAATTCGCAGACTGCTGTTTCCACTCTCCTTCCTTTAAGCAGCAACCTCAGTTGTAATAAAAAATATATTTTGTTTTCTTTCGAAATTACCTTCTCCTTTATAAATGCAGAAAGGCAATTTAGAGCAGCTTTCTGCTCCCTCAGCTGGTGGCCTTGAAAGAGAAAATAAATATTCATTGTAAATACAAATAAAAAAGAAAACCGCCAATAAACTCAATAAATACCTGCATTGGTAAACTTTGTGCCGATGGATGCGCGTCGTGTTTGAAGTTGCATTCTCAACTTCTGTACGAAATATCATTTTGCATTTAATACTCCAATAAGTAAAACTTTTGTTTATTTGTTTATTATTATTACTTTTATTTCTTGCTGGATGTCTCCATCATCGAATATCGCCTGCCTCTTTCCGAGTGATTCTACTGTGCGGGCGGCGGCCTGAATAGCGAAAAAACAATATATTTTATTATTTCAATTGATCTGCAAGAGAAATAATAATCGATTTCAAATTACCTCGTGAATATTCTCCGAAAGAAGAGCAAAATAATTCATGGTTTCCTCCTTGACGTTCAGGCTAAAGCGGTTTTCTTCTGTCACCATGCAGCGAAGGAAACAGAGAAAAAATGAAGCTCACGCGAAAGCTGAATTGCGATCATGCTGTAAAATGCGTAATTCAGGAACCAAAGAAGAGTTTAAAGATCTTCTTTTCTTATTTTTCTCCTTTTTCTTTACAACTTCGTCGTTTTCTGAATCCGAAACCGACGGCTCACGGGCGGTGGGAAGCGACAGCTGAGAAGGAGGAAACCCTGTCTTTAATTGAGACATCGAAGGAAACAATTGCAGAAAGTATTGTAAAAATAAAAAAGAATAAAGAAATATATATTTATTTATAATTATTTCGATTTTTATTCCGCAAATGTTAATAAATGCTGCAATTTTCAAAGCAGATCTAAGAAACCTGCAATGCCGCCTCCTGTCTCGATACACCCCAATCTGCATTCTCTGTTTCTTTTATGGCCAGAGACATATCGTCAATTATTATTTTATTTCCTTTTTCTTTCTTTTTCCCTTCTTTCTTTTCTCTTTTCCTCCTCTGTTCTCTGGTTTCGTTGCTTCTTCCTCTAATTTGCTCGCAATACGCTACAATCTGCATTTTCTAATCTTCAATTTTGAATCGCCAATATCTTTGCCACTTCTCTTTTTTCTAATGCCGCGCTAATGGAAACAAAACCAGGAGAGTTTTAAAGGCAGGAAGTGTATGCTGTTTATAGCTGCCGCAAACAACAAACAAACAAGCAACGCTCATGAGATGCAGATAAAGCGATTGGTTCGTATACCCTCTGCAAAAAAGTATTTCATGTTTTCAAGTTAGCTGTACAGGCGACGAAGCAGCTTCTGCAGTTCTCAGCATAAGAAGCCCTTTCTATATATTGAAGTATTAATAGACAATCTGCATATATTGTGCATAAATATAACATAAATGCGAAGTACATAAGAAGCGTCTATATCCATACAGTATATTGAATGGATATATAGTGCCTATGTACTAAAGCTAAAGCAAATAACACTATATATTGTATATATTTCCACATATATATATATTATAAAGTGTTTCATTTTATGAGGAACTCAGGCTGTGGCAGACAGGGTTTATTTTGTTGCTTCATCGCGTTGCAGCGGCCGTTCGTTTGCTTTTTATGATTTTTTTTGTGCAGACTCACTTTGAATTTGCATTTGCTTTAATGTTAAATGCAAACATAAGTATAGACATAAACATAAACATATATATATATATATATATATATATATACAGATGCACATGTATATGTATACAAGTATGTGAATTAATACAGGAGTCGTCTCGATCTTGCACTTCGTAGAGTATTGCAGAATAAAGCAAAATATTACGATCAATTTTGAATTACAATTTGAGTAACAAATTAAATGTAGCAAAAATTATAATTACTTTATTAGCGAGACGGCGATTTGCCTGCAGGCTGCTGGGCGTTACAGCTTGCCGGGGAAAACAGAGTCAATTAAATTCTTTTTTGTACTGTTTAATGAAAATAAGTATGGTTAAACCACTTATAATATTAATTATAATTAATAAATTAATTTTAATCCCTCTCCGCACATCTTTCATTAAACAGCAGCTCGGCTTAAGCCGGTCTCGACGCTCCTCTCCACTGTCTTGTCTGCGCATCGCCCCAGGCGTTGTTAGCTTCTTAGAAAATCTCAAATTATAATTAAACAAATCTAAAGGGAAAAAATACTTCTAATCAATATAAACTAAAAAAACAAGAAAACAGCAGCAGCAGCAGCAGGACGAGGTGCTACTGCCGCAGCAGCGGCAGCAGCAGCAGCAGCAGCAGCAGCAGCAGCAGCGAGCCATTGGCTGTGGATCGGCGGTGTTGAGGAGGCTGCGGTGTATGTACATTGATTTAAATGCCCCAACCTTTTAAATATCCTTTATATCTTTCTTAAAAATATTACTTATATATTTTTCTTTGTTAGTTTCTAGCCATCTTGACATCTAACTTTGCAACCTAAGGACCCCTTCACTGAACCATCTGCTGCTGCTGCGGTTGCTGCTGCTGCTGCTGCTGCTGTTGTTGTTGTTGCTGCGGCTGTACCTGCACGAGGCCTTCTTCTTCTTCTATCATTGATTATTTGCTCTTAATGTTTTAATATTCTTTTTGAATATTCGTTGACATATAATAGCCTTTAAAGAGAAATTTTATTGGCTATCCATCTCTGCTTGTCTTCTCTGAGTATCGAGTAGCAACGCTGCCTGTACACCTCGATTGTCTGTGATAGAAGTCTCTTCTTTCTCTTTGTCTCTCTTCTTTCGTTTTATTACTTGTGAATTTCAATAACAACTTTGCTTGTCTCTGCTGTACAGCTGAGAGGGAGCACCAGGGATAAGCTTTTACGGGCAGCAGCAGCAACAGCAGTAGCAACAGCAGCAGCAGCAGCAGCAGCAGCACATTGCTTGCTCTCTCCACTCTTCTCTCTCTCTTTTTTGTCTGTCTCCTTAGCTCATTTAAACCCTCGTCTGTGTCTCCTCTGCTGCGTCTCTTGGCTGTGTGTTGCGGCAGCAGCAGCAGCAGTGCGCAGCGCTGCAGCAGCACGGGTCGCTGCAGCAACACAGCAGCAAACATAACACGATGCCATTGGACTGTATAGACGCTCTGGGGGAGGAGCTAGCGGCTATAGCTGCCGGGCGTACGTACAACCCTCCTTCTGTCCCTGTAGACACTTCTGCTGCTGCTGCTGCTGCTGGAGGAGGACGATCTTCTTATGCTGGAGCAGCAGCAGCAACGGAAGGCAGCAGAGTTGCTGATGCTCTTCGGACGACTCAGGAGCTGCTGCTGCAACACAAGCGAGAAGGCAGCGAGGAGCCGCTGCAAGTGCGGCGTCTGCTAGCAGATGCTGCTGCTGCGGCGGTGCTGCGGCAGGCTGAAGAATCAGCAGCAGCAGCACGTGAGGCGCTGCTAAAGAAAGGATATTCGCTGCGCTCTGCGTGCAGCTACAACCACTATGTCTTATATCGCTCTCGCAGCCCCCTTCGCAACAGGGGCACCTGGCTAGCTGATACTGAAGATGCTGTTGCTGCTGCTGCTGCAGCAGCAGCAGAGCAGCAACAATGGCTGAAGCAGCTTGAAAAGGCTGCGGACACCACAGAGATACTCGAACTCAACCATCTGACTCCCCAGAAGCAGCAGCAACAACAACAACAGCAGCAGCAACAGCAGCAGCAGGAGACGGAGCTTCCGGAATACGGTCCCCAGGGAAGGCCTCAACAGCAGCAGCAGCAGCAGCAGCCGCCACAATATAGATATCCGCTAGAGGAAGAGCAGCAGCAAGCTTCAGTGCTCTGGGCGCAGCAGCAAACACACCAGCAGCAAACACATCAGCAGCACACATATCAACCGCAAACACACCAGCAGCGAACACATCAGCAGCACACATATCAGCCGCAAACACATCAGCAGCAAACATATCAGCAGCAAACGTATCAGCAGCAAACACATCAGCAGCAGCAGCAGCAAAAGCCTCAGCAGCGGGAGCAGCAGCTGCAGCACGACGAGTTGTTTGAGCTAGAACAAATGCTGCGGAAGTTGCAGGAAGAGAACCAGCAGCAGCAAATAAAGCTGGAGCAGCTGGTGCAGCAGAGGGAAGAAGCAGCACACAGACGGCGTCTCCACGAGCTGCGCTTCCAAATGCAGCAGCAGCAGCAGCAGCAGCAGCAGCGATTTAAGACGCCACCGTCTCGTTGGAGACAGAAGCTTACAACTCCACGAGGCCTGAGGGCCTCCTCCTCGTATACAGGTGCCGCTGCAGCTGCATCTGCTGCACCACAACCATCAGCAGCAGCAGCAGCAGTAGCAGCAGCAACTTCTGCAGCAGCAGCAGCAGAGGCAGCAATGCAGAACCTTGAGGCCGCTGTTGCGGACCCATTCCTTTTGCAGCAACGCAGTCCCTCAGCAGCTCCGCTTGAGAGGCGACAGCATCAACACGAGCTGCAGCAGCAGCAGCAGCAGCAGCAGCGCATCCGCAGCAGCTCTGTTGCATTCCCTTCCAGCTTATCAGGTGATACATTAATACGGAGTTCTCGAGGAAGTCTGTTTTCAAGCAACAAACCGTTTGCAGCGCAGCAGCAGCAGCAGCAGCAGCACTGGCAGCCAACGCAGCAGCAGCAACAGCAGGTCCAACAGCAGCAGCAGCAAACACACGAGCACCCCCAGCAGCAGCAACAGCAGCCACAGCGCGACTTCGCTGAAAGGCGCGCAAATACTGTGACAATATCCATACCGAAGCTTCGGGTGGGAAGCAGCAGCAGCAGCAGCAGCAGCAGTAGTAGTAGCAGCGCAGCAGACGACGCAGCAGCCTTTTCTAATTGGGTTACATTCCACCGCGTTGCAGAGGAGGAGGAAGTAGCAGCAGCAAAAGCAGCAGCAGCAGCAGCAAGACAAACCGAAGACACATCGCTTAGTGACGTGAGGATCTCAACAGCAAGCGATGCAGCAGACGCCAGCAGCAGCAGCAGCAGCAACAGCAATGGCAGCAGCTACCCAACCGCTGTTCCCACTGTGCAACAGTCAAGATTGCAGCAGCAGCAGCAGCAGCAAGACATGCACCAGCAGCAGCAGCAGCAGCATACACAGCAGCCTTTGAAGCATGCAAGCTTCACGAGGATGTTTTACACTCCGGGGCAGCAGCAAGAACAGCAGCAGCATCGGCAGAAGTCGGAGCAGCAGCAGCAGCAGAAGCAGCAGCAGCAGCAGCAGCAGCAGCAGCAGAAGCAGCAGCAGCAGAAGGGGCGGCAGCAGCAGCAGCAGCTGTACGTATTCCCTGAAGTAAAGTCTTATTGGGTGCATAGCCAGCAAATGCCTTCGGTGGGCGCAGCAGCAGCACGAAGGAGCATCACCAGCTCTGTGCTGCTGCACAGAGCTGGTGAAGATATGCATGCATCTCAGCCTCCACGCAGCAGCAGCAGCAGCAGCAGTAGCAGCAGCAGCAGGTGGTGCAGCTTATGCAGCAGAGATTGCTGCCGAGACATCAACGCCTGCTGCGGTGTGTTGAACAGGCATGCTTACAGGGGTCCCCCAATGGCAGCAGCAGCAACATCAGCAGCAGCAGCAGCAACAACAGCAGCAGCAGCAACAACAGCACACAGCCGAAGCTATAAGCTATGGAAGCCCTCAACCGGCCACTGCAGCGTCTTCCCAGTGGTGCCTTTAAGGACTCCCTCAGCAGCAGCAGCAATAGCAGCAGCAGCAAGAGGAGCAGCAGCAGCTCCAGGTGGTTCTGTTGCTTATGAAGCTATAAGGCCAGCGCATCGAGTAAGAAGCTGCGTAGACATAAGACGCAAGGTTGCGTGCAACTGCTGAGCTGCTGCTGCTGTTGCTGCTGCTGCTGCTGCTGCTGCTGCTGACGTGGGGGCAACAGCAGCAGCAGCAGCAGTTGCGCAGCTGCAGCCCCTGCAGAGGAAGCAGCAGCGAATCTCCTGGAAGCAGCAGCGGATCTTCTTACATTTCAGCAGCAGCGATCAGCAGCAGCAGCAGCAGCAGCAGACGGCTGGCTGCGCGTTGCTTGCACGTCAGGGAGCTTTTGTTTTTGATGAATCCCCTTCGTTATATTTATATAATATGCACTCAGGTAAATATACAGAAATATATATAAATATATATATATATATTATATATATGCTTTATATATGTATAAATACGTATAGATATAATGCATATATATAATATATATATATATATAAATGTATGTATATATATGTATATACACATATGCATATAATTTTTTATTTGTAATGAACTTTGTATATTCAACTGTATATACAATGCAAACAATAAATACTAAAAATATGCAAATACAAAAAACAATTTGTGTGTGGTGTTGACTACCCATTATACAAATATATATATATATATATATATATATATACAAATCTATATATA